GAAATAATGCTAGAAAACTTTCCAGTAATCCATGACAAGACTGAAGCAAGTGAAAAAGAGATGCTAGGGCATATAAGGGTGCTTGGATATAGCTGTAATTGCAGGAACTGGTTGTTCAATACCACAAATCGCATAAATCACCATTGGATGTAATTTTCAGCAATTTTCATCTGCTTCCTTCTCAAACTCAAGTCTTTTTAAACATCCCTCTTAATTTGTATGGAATTTTTGTGGGGAATCTGTTGATGAGCAGTGACAAGCAGTGATAAGCAGAGTACATTATGCATGCAGTATCTTTCAAAGACTGAATATGATTTTATGATTTTGTTACAGTGGTTAGACTGGTTTGTAAAAATTGACAATCCAGTGACATTCTGGAGAGCTCAGCCAACTTATATCTTGGCAGCAGTAGTATTTCTGTTAGGTGCTGCTGGGAATTTGATACATGGTGAGTGAATACCTAATTTTATTGAATTGAATTTATTTACATTCTATAAATCCTAAGTAGGTTAGTACCTTTGGATACAGAACAAGTCAAAAGGTTACATACATAAGTACAGGCAATTTTAGCTTAAAAATTAATATTATTTACATTGAAGTATTCATCTAAAGAGTAGAAGGAATGAGCATGTAGATAATTCTTTAACTCTGATTTAAACTTTTTAGTATCATTGCCCAAGTTTTTAATACTTTGTGGCAGATTGTTGAACACTTTTATGCCAGTAAAGTAGACTCCTTTTTGATATACTGATAAAGTTGATGAGGGTAGGTGGAAGTTATATTTTTGTCTAGTATTCATGTTATAGACATCAGAATTTAATTTGAATTTATCTTTGTTGTAAACAACAAATAAGAGAAGCGATAATATGTATTGCGATTGAAGAGGTAGAATTTTTAATTTCTTAAATAATTCTCTACATGAATCTCTACTTCTACATCCTGTAATGATTCTAATTATATTCTTTTGTATTTTAAAAATTATTACACTATGTGAAGAGTTCCCCCAAAATATTAATCCATAGTTCATAATAGAATGAAAGTAGGCATGGTAAACCATCTTCAATGTTTCCTGTGACATAAAAGGCTTAATTGATCTCATCGCATAGCAAGCTGCATTTAATTTAGGTATAATTTGTTCAATATGTATTTTCCAAGACAGTGTACTGTCTACATGTATTCCAAGGAATTTTGTATCAAGTACTTTACAGATTAATTTGTTGGCATAACTGATGTCCAGATCAATTTGGTGGTTGTTTTTAGTTGTGAATGATATGTAATGGGTTTTATCAAAATTTAATGAGAGTAAATTGGCTTCGAACCATCTGTTTAAGGCTTCAAATACAATATTTATGTCATTTTTAAAGTTTTCAAATTTAGAGTTCTTAAATATTATACTAGTGTCATCTGCATATAGAATTGGTTTAGATTTATTGTTGATGGTTTTAGATAGATCATTTATGTAGAGAAGAAAAAGTAAGGGACCTAAAATTGATCCTTGTGGAACACCGTGCTTTATAATTCCCCAGTTTGAAAATGCATTATGACTGGAGTTTTTATTATTTATTTCAACTCTTTGATACCTGTTTTTGAGGTATGATTTGATCCATTCATTAGCTTTGCCAGTTATTCCATAGAAATTTAATTTCGATAGTAAGATATCATGATTAACACAATCGAAAGCTTTTGCTAGATCACAGAAAATCCCTCCCACAATTAATCTGTCATTGAGAGCACTTAAAATATCGTTAGTTAGTTCATAGGTTGCTTTTTCTGTTGTTAGGTCTTTCCTAAATCCAAATTGCTCTTTGACTAATATGTTGTTAGAATTTAAGTGTTCAAGTAGTCTATTATACATAACTTTTTCAAAGACTTTTGAGAATGAAGTCAATATGGATATTGGTCTGTAATTAGAGATGCATTTTCTCTCTCCTTTTTTAAAAAGTGGTTTCATTACAGCGTATTTTAAGCGTTGAGGAAAAGTACCTGATGATAAAGATTTATTACATAGATGATTCAAGGGTGAACTGATGTAAACAGAGCTTGCTTTAAGTAATTTGGTAGAGATTTCATCATATCCATGTGAATTTTTGGGCTTAAGGGATTTAATAATGTTTTCAATTTCCTTCCTTGTTGAGAATTTGAGATTGATATTTGGAAATGAATTGTTAAAGGCACGAGACAGATAGTATATTGGATTATTATTATTATTATTATTATTATTATTATTATTATTATTATTATTAGTATTGTTGTTATTGGAATATGTTTTCTCAGCTAATGAAAGGAAATATTCATTAAATGCACTTGCGATAGCTTGTGGATTGTTAGTGGACTTCCCTTCAATATTCAAACTTTGTACGTCTTCATTAACAGATTTCTTTCCTGATTCAACTTTCACAATATCCCAGGTGGTTTTAATTTTATTGTTTGATTTTAGAATTTGGCTGTTATAGTTATTCTGTTTGGCTTCTTTAATGACTTTTGACAAAATTTTACAGTACATTTTGTAGTGACTTTTTAGTCTTGGATCATTACTGTCCCTACTGGCCAAATATAGTTGTCTTTTGTGTTTACATGAAGTTTTTATTCCAATTGTTATCCAGGTGGATTTGTTTTTATTTTCATTTTTGACTATTTTTAAGGGAAAGCTTGAATAAAAGATCCTCAAGTATGTGTTCAGAAAGCAATTAAATTTAGAATCAATATTATTGCTGTCAAATACATTGTCCCATGATTCATTACTTAATTTTGTGACAAAATCTGCCATCGTATGCTTGTTGATTTTCCTTACTGTTTGATATTGTTGATTACTGGGCTGAAGGTCAATATTATTTATTTCTATGAGTTGAGCATCATGATCGGATAAGCCATTTATAAAGGGTCCTACAGTATAGTCTCTTAATTTTGAGTTATCAATGAATATATTATCTATCGCTGAACTAGAATTATTTTGAACTCTTGTGGGAAAGTTAACAGTACTGGAGAGATTGTAAGATGATAACAAAGAGTCTAAATTTAGTTTCCTATTACTGTCGATGAGATAGTTTATATTTATATCACCACAAATTATAAATTCAACTTTTGAACTATGCAGTACATTTAGGATGGTTTCTAATCTATTTATAAAGTGATCGAAGTTTCCAGATGGGGCTCTATATAAAGTCAGTATACAAATATTAGAAAAAGGAGAGTCTAACTTTAGAGCACATGCTTCCAGATCCTGGTCTTTGCAATAATCTTCTAAATTTATTTTAGTAAATTTTAGGTTTTCATGTACAAAAATACTCACTCCTCCTTTCTCCAGTGTTTTCCTACAGTATCTAGCACCTAAATTATAATTTTCTAAGTGAAGATGTTCTAATTCCAGCTGTTTCATGTGATGTTCAGTAAGGCACAGTATGTGTGGAAGATTTGAATTCATGGAGCTTATTAGTTCATTTGTTTTGTTTCTCAATCCTCTTATATTCTGATGGAATATTCTTAGTACTTTATTATTCACTGAATTTAGTAGACTGCAATTACCTTTTCCGATTTCTATTGGTTCACTAACATTATTGTCTGAAAGATTAGTTTCTTTTGCAATTTCTTTTACTTGATAAACTTTACTTGCACTCTTTATCCTAAAAAATGATTCTGAACACCCATGACAACTGGAATGTGTCTGCCCTTAATGCTCTCTGCAATGAGTCGCGTCAGCTTGTCCTTGCCTCGAGGATTAAGATGCAAACCATGGACAGTATGTTCGCTCCTCAATATTGAAGAGACATCAATCGCATCAATGTGGGCCGCGCCGACCTCCACAAGCGAACGCTCAAGCCGAAGATTAATCTCCCTTACACACCTGTTAATCCATGGCTTGTCATGTCGCCAGAAAAGACCAACAAACCTCACATTGGTGTGACTAGTTTTCTGGGCAATGTCACTTAAATCTTTCTCAATTTGATAATTGAGGTTTCTCTCCAAACTGTTACCTGGCCCCCCAACTATAACTACCTGATCTTCCTTACTAAAACCTTTGCACAATTTTCCAATGTCCCCAGTGACATTGCTCAGATCAGCATTGGGCTTGAATATGCTGGTCACAGCATATGCATCTCCCATTGCTTTCTGTAGCCTCTGCCCGATACCCCTACCATGACTGCTACCCAGCACTAGAATCTTACGCTTAGACTTAGCCTCTGACACAGGCTGATCTATAGTCACCATCAGTCTGAGGCTCTAGCATAGCTAGAGGTTCAAATCGATTGGTTAAAGCAAACTTAAAATCTAGTGAAGAAGGAACTTTTTTTTAGTTTTCTTCGGGAGTTGGACACAGTCCTAAATTATTCAGGACAATTATCTACTAAATTTAATTCCCCTTTTAAGAGGTCAATCTCAGTTCTTGCAAGTTCCAGCTCCCTTTTCAAACTCAAGATAGTCTCCTCTTGTTTCTTTATTACCTTGGCTTGCACACAGGAGTTGCAGTACCAAGGTAATATGGCCAAATCACTATTGGTGCCAGAACACTCCCAATGAAACCACAGGCCACAGTCCTCACAACCTGTCCCCTGGCTAACCTTCCTTCTGCAGGCCCCACATTTACCTGATAAGTCGTTACCCCTTGTGGTCATTATTACCACTTATGTTAACTTATAATTCAGTACTAACTAACAGATATATTTAAAGAGTCTAATTTGTGATTAGAACTTACAAGAGTATATGCTGGCACAAATCTTTTAAAGCCCACTATATACAATGATACACTTATTTTAGGTTAGGCCCACTGGTACACTTGCAATAGTACAAATCAACTTACTAAAGATATAAAATAACACACTTCTTGTAGGTTAGGCCTACTGTACACTTACGAAAATACAAACAACTTATGTAAGATATAAATAACACTTGTGAAAATACAAATCGACTTCCTTAAGATATAAAATAACACACTCCTTGTAGGTTAGGCGTACTATATACTTACGAAAATACAAATCAGCTTCCTTAAGACAAACACACACACTACTTGTAGGTTAGGCCTACCAGTACACTTATGAAAATACAAATCACCGTATTTAAGATATAAAATAACAAGTATGTTTACTAATTCTACTACTAATCTATATTAACAGAAAGTTGAAGTTAAAAAAATGCAGTTTTAGGAGCGTTGAGCGGAAGATCAGATACTAATAGCTCACAATATGGCGGAAAATGGCCTAGGCGCTAAGCGTGGCTTAAGAGTGAGTAAAAAAAGGAAGAAAACGTTCAGTATAGGAAAAAATTTAAATATAAGGTTCACTACAGCACACTTGTTAAAAAAGAGAACCACCTAATTTTTACTACTAACCGAATGAAACTGCTCTATTAAGGAGCTCTCAGATTCGCACACGGCCACTCAACGCGTCCTTCACAGAAGAGTTGTGGGTTCAAAATCATGCTAATAATAAAAAAGAACTGTACTAATGGAACTTCATATACACAGGTTTGGTATGAGCCAAGTAAAAAATGTTCGCAAGAAATAAGAAATTAGTTTCTCTCATTTGACTGAAACTACCTCAAGATTCAGTGGAATTTGGTATGTGGGAGACTACTCTAAAGGCAAATATATTTTTAGTCTTTATCAATAATTTACATTAAAGTTGTCATTTTTCTCAAAATTGGCTCAATGTACAATAATTGGTGCATATGTTAGAATACACTGTAGCCCTTTAACTAAATAAGATTTACAGGGTTTATTTTATGCATTTTTTATATCATTGAAAATTTCATGCTGTGAAACTGTACTTTCATATATTTTATTTTTCACTTTTTCTGACCTCAAGACCATCATGAGGTGAATTAATCCATTAAACATTTACAGTGTTTTAGATTTAACGAGAAATATTAATTATCATCATAATCATCACATATTCTTCTTCTTGTTGCTGCTACCGGTGTTGTCACGTCATCGTTGTCGTCATTGCTGTTGTTGTTGTTGTTGTTGTGAAGTATGTTAAACTCACAATAATAGAATTATGTTTACAGTAAATAAACATCAAAAGCAAAGTATAAAAAATCATAAGGAGTAATTTTGAAATATATATTGTAACGTGTATTCCAAATTGTAGTATATCCTTCAAATTAAATTTATTTACTAGGCACATTCTCTACTTGTCATATGCAAATAGCCATAAATGTTGATGTGCCTCTAAAACCACTCACTTACTCTTCATTTGCCCTAGATGAAGATATATATTATTGATAACATACAGCTTTTAAAAGAACAGGTCTACTTTTCAGTTGTTTTCCATCATAAGTGACAACCATATTATGACCAGAAAACCAGAGACTTTCATGCTTCCAGGCATGTTAAGCCCCATAACTGAAGTTATTATAAATTATTCTTTAAATTTTAAAAATGTGTTTAGAACCCTCGTTTGAAGAATATAAAAATTGGTGCAGACATTACACATACTTTCTCAAACACACTTTACCCTGATTAGGTTGCCCTGGAAATGGAATTTGCTGTTGCTTGGTAGATCATTTATGGTTGCTGGATACAGAACAGCAGAGAAATCAATATGACTGCTAAATCAAATTTCTAGATAACTGACATTTCACTCTTGCACCTATAGTGTGCATAACATTATTTTTCTGAATGTATCATCTATGCATTCTTATTCAAGGAGGTGGTCTCCATCGTCTCCATAAACTACTAAAATTTAGTCTAAGTCATTATTTTCGAGAAAACTGCCGTTTTGTGTTTTGGGGCCCGTTTGAAGTGTAATTGTTTTTGGAACTAAAATGTTCATATTCACCAGACACTGACCTAGGATACATAAAATAGTGAATACCTAATATAGATAAAAAGGAGACAGGCTACAGGCTGGATGGGCCAGGTTCGATTCCTGACAGTGCAAGGTTTTTCTCTTCTCCACTGCACTCAGACTGACTCTGGGGCCCACCCAACCTCCTATCCAGTGTGTACTGGGGATCTGTCCTCAGGGGTAAAGTGGCAGGGGCATGAAGCTGACCAATCATCTCCATTTAGCACTGAGGTCAAGAAAAGTGGAACTATACCTCCACTCTCTCATGTCTTCATGGCATAGTACTTAACTAATTAAGTGCAGGGACTTAACTTTTTTTTATATAAATAAACCGATCCAGCTGTTCAGGAGGTAGTGAGCTGGACATCTGTTCATACAAAGAGACAACCTACCAAAAACCATTTTCATAATCAGGGGAACTAAAAACATACAAACCCATCAAAATCTTGAGGTTGTTTCTTTTGTATTATTATAATACTTTAGGCTATACACTATGTATAAGAGAAAGTAAGAGTTTTTATTGGTATCCAAGACAGATCAACATAAACAGTACGAATTATGTGGTTATTCTGAAGCAATTCTCCACCTTACATACTTACATCATAGGGTCACTTTCATTGGTTGCATTATATTGAAGACTGTATCTTTCTCCATACTATAATGTCACTACAGTTTGAGGTGTAGAGACCATGGTACTGGACCATCCAATGATCAATCAGATTCAAAAGAGTCAATCAGAAGAGAACACATATCTCCCCACTTTCTATCAATGAGGTGACTCTGAAGCCATTCTGAACTGACAACAATGATGATGGCAGCAGTATAAACCCCCAGATAGGCACTGGAAGTTAAGATAGAAGATGAAAATGATCACTCACTTCTATCTTCTGTCAAGGCCTGAGAATCTGCATGGAAATACATGTAGGTGCTCTGGTACGGTGATTATTGCATAACATTTTTCATTATAGCTATTCTAAATGGAGGGCGATTGCCATATCTTTGGTTGACTACAGTGCTGCATGGTATTGTAGTGGAGATTGTTACCTACAACCTAGATGACATTGATAATTTCTGGCACTCACAAACTCCAGTTATCTTCCTGGGACGTCGCTTGCCACTGCACATTATTGCACTGTGTAAGTATATCTACTATTAACTTACTTTCAGGATTAATGAGGAACACACTAAAACTTTGTTAATTAGGAACAGCAGAGGATAGATCAATCCAATCTAGTAATTCAGGGTGAGAAGCCTGCATCATGTATATTTTTACAAAAGGGAATTTATTTTCTTAATATTTATGAACTACATAATAAATATATTAAATCACAACAAAAAGAATGAGCATAATATGTAAACCTCTATTAAACAAAGAACAGAGTGGTTTTAAAAGAGGACAGTCACATATGGATGGTGTTTTCATTGTCCTACAACTTTAAGAGAAATGCAGAAGAAAAGATTTGAAGTATAAATATTGTTTTGTTATTATTACAAAGCAATTGATTCTTCCCCTCATAATAAATTATGGTCAGTTATGAATAAAGGAGGAGTCTCTTAGTCACATTAGAAGAACTGTTCGTAGTTCTATATTAGAATACAGTACCTATAAAAGAAGATGTTCATTAAATACTATGTTAATAGAAGTAAAGATTTATCTCAAGTCCACCCATTATCACCCATGATATGTACTATCTATATAGATAAGCTCATTAAAGAATGGATGAAAAATAAAACATTAAATGCAATTTTATTTGCATGTGACCACTTGACAATGGAAAACACAGATGTTATGTATTAAGTAATACTAGGTAATATAGCCATAAAACAAATTTTAGTAATTTCAGCAAACAAAATGAAAGATATGGCTTTCAAAGGAGGGGAATATGTGAAACCAAGAATAATAGTAAATAATCCAGTAATTGAATAAAAGAATAGTTTCAGTTATTTTTTATGGAATATTTCAGTAACAAAAATACAGAGTTAAGAATAGAATTATATAGATTTTACAAAATATGAAGTACAATTGAGAATGCTGAATAAGAAGACTCACAAAAACAATCAAGGTAAGTTTCATAAAGGTATGAACGTAACTGTATTTACACATGGTTCAGAAATATGAACATTGAAAAAAGAACTAAGAATAAAATATAGAAGTTTCTGAGACAAATTGATTATGAAATGTAGCAGGTTACAAAGGAATACATCAAATTAGAAATATGACAATTGGAAGAGAAATGGAAATTTTCAACTCTAATATCAAAATTTGGAAAGGGAGTTTTTTTTGGGGGCGGGAGATAACATTTCATCGATGTAAATACCTCTAAACAAGCTGTAATATGAATCAATTGGAAAAGGAGTGTGGGATGTCCAGATGGCAGGATCAATATACTCTTCAAGAAGATGAAACATGTCAAGAATTGGCATGGCCCATGAAGATGATGATGATAATAATAATAATTATGCAAACTGTCCTACAATGTATACATCATTCATTTAAATCTTTAACATTAAAGCATGCAGATATTAGGCTATTACCTAGCAACAGCTGCTGTTCACAAAGTCACCACTTAGCAACGGGTCTATACGCCAATAATTTTACCTGCAGTTTCATATGGTTGTGGAGCTTGGTTCCTGGCACTAAGGGGAGAACAGTTATAATGGCATAAAGTTAGTAGAGAACCCATGTTTCTGAAGAACATATCACCTTCATCTTCAGGGTCAAAGAATAAGCTCTGCAAGAAACCAGTGAACGGCTTACGCTTCAACCCTGAAGATGGAGATATTATGATCCCCCGAGATGTCAGGTTGTCTGTTAACTACATGTCGTTGCAACCTAGAAGACTGATCTTTTCACAGTCATCTCTGTGAGATATTATGATCCCCCGAGATGTCAGGTTGTCTGTTAACTACATGTCGTTGCAACCTAGAAGACTGATCTTTTCACAGTCATCTCTGTGAGATATTATGATCCCCCGAGATGTCAGGTTGTCTGTTAACTACATGTCGTTGCAACCTAGAAGACTGATCTTTTCACAGTCATCTCTGTGAGAACCTCAAATCCAACATACGAGTATGTTCAGGGTGTCTGAGAAGATATTAAGAATCATCTCGACCTAATACTCAGGAAGTGCCAGAAAGCTGGAGAAGGCTGCACAGTGTGGAATTTCATAATTTTTACTCTTACCATACATTATTAGGATGTTCAGATTGAAGGTAATGAGATAGGCAGGACATATAGCATGCATGGGAAATGTCAGCAATGCACACAGAATTTTGGTTTGAAAATATAAAGGGAATATGTTGCTATAGATGGCAGGATAATATTAAAATTGATCTTAAACAGAGATTGGATGGAAGGGTATGGACTAGATTCATCTGATTTTGGATAAAAAACTGATGGCAGGTCCATGTGAACATGGTAATGAACCTTCAGGTTCTGTAAAAAGTGGGGAATTTTTTGAATAGCTGAGTGACAATTAACATAGTAAGAATGACTGTTTTCCATACAGTTAATCAGTTAGTTAGTCAGTCAGTCAGTTGATTAGGCAGTCACTAGAAAAATGTATACTAAAAGTTTCAAATTTAAAATTTATACTTAATATACATATAATGCATCATCACCACCTTTCCTTTAAACCATTCAACAAGCTAAGAATTTATTTAGTAATGTGTTTCATAATTAACTATTAAAGATTTATAAATTCACTAGCATTTGTACCCTTTAAAAGTGATAGGCTTAAAATTTTAGCCTATGATTTACAGGGCTATGGTTTCTGCTTATTTTACAGATCCTGTCTTCATCTATCATGCATCTGTTGCTGTATCAAAACTGAAGCTACCAACATGGGCTGAACCATTTGCAGGTCAGGAATGATTAAACTTACAATGGCTGTGCATTAGATTTATGAATCTTTGCATATGAATGAATCATGTGCAGATAATTAATACATTCTTTTAAGGGAATCTGTTATTTAGGACAGTTTGACTATACAGTCAACAATACTTCTCCTGTGGTCATCAGGAAATGCCCTTAGCTTTACTTAGTAGGATTTATTCAGCAGAGGCTCCTTTTCCAGAGTACCTTCATCAGTCTCTGTGTGAAAGTTGGTACAGTGTCTTGATAGACAGCACAACTGCCTCCCTCCAATCCTTGCCTACTCACCATTCATTATTACAGCATCTCATTCAGTAATATGTAACCTCCTCATATGGAACGACTCCACTAAATAACCAAAGAATTAATCAGTCACTAAATGAGTAGAGATTTAACCCGTTGCCGTGGTTCGTCGTGTATGTTTCGTCAGGGATTTAAATCGTCTGGGGGGGTTCGACGTGTATGTTTCGTTCAGCTGCACACCTATGTTATAACGCCCATAATAATTGATGGTTTTGCTGTAGATTGTTAGATTTTTCGCTGGCCTGTTGTCAGTAGAACAGAGTATAAATAAGACACGACTTTATCTG